CACACACACACACACTGCATCTGCAGAGATAATCCACTTCGAGACCGCTTTAACTGCTCAGGCTCAATGCCAAGGACTCCTAGGAACTGTAGTTTTGTGAAACATCGAGCTTTCTCTGTTGTTCCACAACAAACTACAGTTCCCAGGATTCCCTAAACCAGTCTCAAACTGGATTGTTTCTGCATGAGTGTTTTGGGGTTCTCTGTGTTGTCATGTCCTCCATTTTTCTTGAAGTTTGAGTATGACTGGGAAGCATGGATTGACATTTCTATATGAGTGGTTTTATTTTTTTTTAGCTTTTATACGTTGTCAAGTCCTCCATTTTTCTTAAAGGGTCTCCATTTTGCGGTGCTTTGTTTTCCCCCTTTGTGGTCATTAGTACATCTGGTCAACCAGCTGCAGAGCTTCCATCCATCCATGGTTTTTAAAGATTGCCTACCCCCCCCCCAAAAAAAAAAACCCTTCCTCTTAAGCCAGCTAAAGGGTTTCCAAAGCTCTGTTGAAGGCGAGGGGCCTGGGACATGATGACTGTAGCACCCTCCTGGTCACTCTCAGGGTCCTGCCACAGCTGCTTGTTTCACCATGTCCCAGTATGCAGCACTTCAGAAACTTACCAGTTGGGATTCTGCCTGGCTTAAAAAGTAGGGTTGTTTTTTTTAAAAAAAAAAAATCATGCCCTGTCCTTAACAACCATAAATGTGAATCCCAAAAGTTTTAAATCCAATTTATGATCCCATAACAGGATTCCACCTTTTAATTTTGTAGAAGAAAAATTCTTAATATGCCTGTAAAGAGAGAGCCCTATGCAATTTAAGTTTTTGATTAGTTTTTGATTAGTATCTTAGTTTTTGCCATCTGAGGAAGGAGGAATGAGAACAGACACTAAATATGGAAGTAAACAAATGTTTGGGTCAAATCAGTTACAAGCTTGAAGACTAGGTTTCAGTGTAACTGAAAGTTGCAGATATTGAACTCTTCAAACATGTATTATCATGACTAATGAAAGCCTCCAATATGCCAGGGAGATGGAAACACTCACCAGATGCAGAAATGCATCTTGGATTTGGACGTTCTGTATGTTTAATATATGAATAGATGTTATTTTTCTCCTATTCTGTAGATTGTGTCAGATACATATTTTCATATTGTGTGGTACCAGCTGTTGGTGTTTGATTTCTTTGTGTTGGTAGTGATGATGGTGGTGTGCCTTCAAGTCATTTTTGACTTAAGGCGACCCTTGGTGATTTTCCTTCCGTCCTGTCTTGGCGGCCCTCTGTGGGCTGCATAGTGTTAGGGGCATAAATAAAATTTAAAAATCACTGGGTTTTCTTGGCAGCATGTGTTTGGGAAAGGGTTGCCCTTGCCTTCCTCCATGGCTAAGTGTCAGGATCTGAGTCCCCCAGACTTCATGCCATGCTAGTTAATCAAATTGGGCTTTCCACTTTGCCTGTTTTATTTCTATTTCATGTTACTAGATGCTGGAATATGTCATGCTGGTAGTACTGAGTGAAAGGTATGGTTATCTATCCTGGGATGGCTAATGAGCAGATGTGAAGGGAAGGTAATAAGCACTGGGAACTGCCAAGTTCTGTGGGGATGCATGGTACAAGAGAATGCAACTGTGCAGTCTGGAAAAGGGAATGCTTTGTGACAAATGGGGTTTGGGTGCACAAAAAGGTTTGAATTGCTTTATGCTTTTACTATATTGCAGGGGTAGGCAACCTTTCTCCTTTAAGGGCCGAGGGACTTCAGCTCCCAGAATCCCAGGAGTTATTGGCCAACATGGGACTATAGGCCAACATGGCTGAGGCTTCTGGGAGCTGAAGTCCCTCAGCCCTTAAAGGGGAAAGGTTGCCTACCCCTGCTATATTGTGTAACCAAATTGTCTCACTCCTAACAACATCACCATACTGTGAACTACTTTGGCTCCTGAATAAAGCTTGCTGGTTTTATACTGGTTTGGATTTCTGAGCTACAGTCTACCAGAACATGACACTAAGCAGGGATTTGAACCCTGGTCTCCCAATGTCTTAGTCCAGCGCACAAACCACTATACCACATTGGCTATCTTTCAGTTTCTTAAACATTTAAAAAAAATACCAGTGCTGCTTTGAGCATACTTAATCATTCCAAATGTTGTGAAACAAGGCACAGTTCTTAAAAATGAAAGACACTTGACATTTCTGGTCAGTCATGAAACTATTGTATATTGTTCACCAAATCTCTTCTTGCATATAGCAGAGTTTTGGATATGTAAGAATGGATTTTGTGTACTGGTTAGCTGAGATAAATAGGAAACATAGCTTGCCAGGGAGCCTTTTCCTAAAACAAATTTGTCTAGATTTTTGCAGGAACAACAGATTGAATGTTCTTTCTATGTAATAACTTAATCAGACTTTTTTCACACACATCCTTTTAAAAAGAAACTGTATCGTAACTTTGGTCCAAACGCACTGCAGAAATCATCCAGTTTGAGACCGCTTTAACTGCCCTGGCTCAGTGCTAGGGAATTCTGGGAACTGTAGTTGTGTGAGACATTTAACCTTCTCTGTCAGAGAGCTCTAGTGCCACAATAAACTACAGTTCCCAAGATTCCCTAGCACTGAGCCATGGCAGTTAAAGTGGTCTAAAACTGGATGATTTCTGCAGTGTGTTTTGGGCCTTTTTCTTGTTCTGACACCTGTTGTATCATTTGGTGTAGGACTCAAAAAGCTAAGGAAATAAAAATCAAAACCCCTGAAAATACGTTACCTTTATGATTTTTGGCTGAATATTTTGATTGGCTTGATGTATTTAAGAGAGCGTATTGGTACAACAGTATGGCACCAAAAGTTGTCAGTTCAAAAGGTGAGCCTATATCTGTATCTTGGCATAGCATCTGAAGGCCAGTGCTAGAGTATTGGAAGTACTGTGTCAACACATCTGCAAGTGTGGCCTTGTATTTATTTGGCAATCAGCACCTCTACATCATTGCACACAAGTAGGTTTTTTTTGGTTGGTGGTGTTCTCTTAGGATTCAGAAAGCCACTGAAGTTGTCTGGCATTCAGAGTGTGATTGCAAAAACTCCTGCTACAATTCAGAATAAATGTCTGATACATGCTTTTTGAGAGTCAGTGTCGTGTAGTGGTTTGAGTATTGGACTACAATTCTGGAGAACAGAGTTTAAATCCCTGTTGGGGCATGGAAACCCACTGTGTAACCTAGAGAAAGGCAATGGCCAAACATCCTCTGAATAAATATTTTAAAGAAAACTTTGTGATACAGTTGTCTTATAGTTACCATAAGTCAGAAACAATTTGAAGTCACTCAACAACAACAATAATCACATTTCAGTTGTAATTTAGGATCAGAGATTAAGGTGGTGGTGGGGCAAGAACAGGATGCTGAGAGAGTTGATTTATCAGAGTTGAATATGAAACCCATTTCTTGATCATTATCTCTTGCATAGCAAAACAAAATGATCATGTTCTTCATCAGCAAAAAGTGTGAAGCTGCAAAACTTCTGTTTGAGAAATTGCTGTCAAATAAATGAGCTTAGGCTCACATCAAACATCATAGCTTGGTATTTAACTGCTAGCCAGGCCCATGCATAGAAACTGATGGAGGCACATAAACAGGCTGATGGAGGAGGGTAATGTGCTTCATCCCTTATGTATGTCAAGCATAGAAACCATGCTTTAAAAAGGTACATCTCAGCCTGTCTTCCAAGGCCGGCACAGAAATGTAGCTGTTTTTTCAATCTCTTCTAAAGTTCAGAAGGTTTAAAAAATAAATAAATCAGTGTTGGAGGACTTATTTACAAGAACAAAAACAGTAATAATGTTTCAGGGTTGAAATATATGACCAGTAATCAACAAAGTATCCTTTTATCACTATGAGGTATGAATAAATGACTAGTAGTTTTGCTTGGAGAGTACACTGTACAAATCTGTTTCACAGAGACCGACATATTGTAGCCTACTATAGATTTTCAAAATGTAGCCAAGAAAGTTGGTTGCAGCTGCCTTCTTTGTCATCAGTCTTCATTCTTTAGATTTTGAAGAAGATTTTGAAGAAGTTCCTTGGTAGGGATAACTTTTTATGATCTGAGATTTTGGCTGATAACAGAACGATTAGAATTTGGCTGTATGTCTAATACTCTGAAAATGCTGACATATTTTCAAGGCTGAATTTATACACATAAAATGGTATAAAGTTGTAGAATGTCAAAACTACATGCCATCTTTGTTATTAATGTTCGCTGATAGTTCAGTGTTAGCATAAATACAGGTATTACTCTTGCATTCTTGCACATATGAAAATAATTTATGTGATTAATAGTAAACAGTATTAGGTGTTCCTCTTTGCTGCAGTGCATGAAGATTTTTTTTTTCATGGGGGTTTCACACACTGCTATGCAGGGACTTCTAGTATTTCTTAACTGTTGAGAAACTGCAGTTGAGAGGAGACTGGTGTCATAAGGGTCCGAGTGATGCCAGTGTCTTACTTGCTATAGGGATGGGTGAGCTGGCAGAGATTTGTGGGTACTTGGCTCGAGTGGTTTTATTGCTTCTCAAGAAAGTTAAGTGACCGGTGAAGATAACATTTACTGATCCCAGGTTAATATACACCTCATAGAGTTCATATCCATGTGTATATAGGTCTCTGTATGTTCATATTGATGGCAGAAGAGTGTAGAAACCTATCTGTAGTCAAATTAGTATAATTTATACCTATAGCAAAGCTTTTGTTTTTGAACACTTATTATGGTAGTGATTGTGTCCAGGATCCAAAAATGTACTACTACAGAGAGATTAAACCCATTAGAAGAATTAGAGGGTGCCAATCTCCCTTGTACTCTAAAAATATGCTCTGGAAGACAGTGAAACCCTCCAGAACAGATTTTTGGTCAGCTTGAAGATTTGTAGAGAGAAAGGAATGCCCATTGCAGCCAACAGTGTGATGTTAACATTATCACCTCTTAAGCAGGCAGCTTCAATTTGTATTTCCAAGTGAACCATTCTAATCCAAATCTCCTACTATTCTGATTATTGGCATGCCGTCTTCATTGGATTGCACACTGCTGTAAACTTTATGGTGCAGTAGTTTCTCTTTAAAACATTTATAAAAATGATTGAGGTTTTGATTCGTTTTCCTGAAGGGAAATAATTTAGTAGATAATATTAGTAAATAAAGTAAATAATATATAAAAGGAGAATGTTGTAAATAAGTTTACAATAACTGTCGGGTTATGCTTGGTTTAGAATACCGTGTTTTCTAAGATTGCTTGATAACTAATTTCACTTTTATTGAGTTGCATTTATATTACACATTCATATGACATGCATTAAAGCAGGTTATAATGTGTGTTAGATCATGGTGATATTTATTCTTCATGTTTGATTTTTTTTTAATCTATATTGATCTTAGCTTGTTTGAATTTTTAAACTTAACTTTAATGTTCATGGAGTGGAGTTAAGCTGAAAAAATACATATCGTAAAGTTTGATTACTAGTTGCTGAACATTCCCAATAATTTGCCTAATTTGTAAATGTTGCAATTACCGTATTTTCCGGCGTATAAGACGACCTGTTGGAATATATTCTTGATACCGGTTAAGATTATCAAGAAAGAA